AAATTAAAAAAAAAAAAAAAAACCCGGTAGTGTTTTCTTAAATCCTATGGGTAGCTGTGGCTTCATGATGTTGAAACTGAGGACTCAGGTTTGAGAGAAAAAACCTTACTTTGACTTACCCCCTGAAATCCCGCTGGTTAAACCTGAGACATCCTATGTATCGGCGTTTAAAACAGAAAATAAGCTTGGTATTTTATTAAATAGAGGCAGTAATGATTTTAATAAACATGAAAGAATAGGTATTTGCTTCATCAATTGTAATTTCTGTGATACGAAATGCTCGGAAAAAATCCAGCTTCCATCGCTATGAGCCAGGTATTTTAGTTTTGGATTTTTAATTTTGTTCTTTCATGTTCATACAGATAATGATGCCCATTGCCCAGGAATGTGTCAAAACATCGTGTTCTCTTTCAATTTTTGTTTCTGAGTTTTGTTCCTACGTTATTTTCTTTTCGTTATTCTCCGTTACTTTGTTACTCACACATTGGGAGTCCCTCAGTCATTTACTTCTTTGAGCTACGGCGAAATAAACTGACAAGCTCGGGCCATTTGATCAAACAGTGCTATCAACATACGAGGTCCGTCCGGAAAGTATCCGATCTTGTTGATTTGTCTCCCCATTAACGGTTGATAAGAGGTTTGGGCTTCGGATTATTTTGCACGCGGACTCTCCGGTGTGTAGGTGCACAGCCCGATTATCACCCGTTCAATTAGTTGTTGGTAAGTCGCTGATTAGTGCGTGCGATTCATCTGTGATCATCAGATTTCGTTTTTCCTAAAAAAGAAGAAGTTGAGGAGAGTGAGGTCATGGGGGACACGCGTTGGGCGTCCAGGTATAACCCTGGGACAAAGGTGCAAACGTCAGTTTGGATCGCACTTGGGACATTTCGCCGGAAGAAACCTTCGAAGTTGTAGCAATGTGAAAACAATGTTGACTGTCTTCGTCGATCATGAAGGTGTCGTGCATCATGAATACGCTCCCCAATGCTCTACTATCAATAAAGAGAGCTACCGAAAAACTTTACGTCCCTTGAGGGGCCTTGGGGAGCGTATTCATGATAGACGACACCTTCATGATCGAAGAAGACAGTCAACATTGTTTTTACATTGCTGCGACTCTTCCGAGTTTTCTTCGGGCGAGTTGTTCCAGTGCGATTCAAACTGACGATTGCACTTTCGTCTCAGGTTCGCACCCGGAGACCCAACACACGTTCCCTGTGATGATTTTCTTCACATCAGCAACTTACCAACGACTGATGGAACGTGTGATAATCCGGCTGTGCACCTGCACTCAGGAGAGTCCGTGCAAATATAATCCCAAGCCCCAACCTCTTATCAACCATTTATGGCGAGATAGTCAACAAGGTTGGATACTTTTCGGACAGACCTTATACAGGGTTATTCAAAAGTTACGCACCACTGGCCATACCTTTAGTTCTAATTATGATATCGATTTGCGGTTTGTGGCGTCCTTCCTCATATCGAGGGGGAAACTTTTTGAGGTACTTTTCAGTTCTTCACCCTTCCCCCCAGGGGGGAGGGGGCGGGGGGGCAACTCAAAAATTTCAAATGGCTAACCCCCATCATGTGATACATCGTTTGAAAGAGCACGAAATAAGAAACTTTTTGGCGCAAACCGGAAGTCGATCTGACCCCCCTGTCAAAAGTTAGGGGGGGGGGATCCAAAGGTTATTTAGGGGGTCCGTACCTTCATTTTTTAGAGTAGCTTCGGCGGCTCTTGGACATACCGTTTCTCTTTACAAAGAGTCCTCGAATACTCCAAGTCTGATACCGAAGTCTTCATATTGCCCCCGGGCCACCACAGCCCCCCCTCCCCCTCGTAGGGGGGGATGGGCCTGTTACAATGAAACATTGGATTAAAATGCGAAAAGTCACAGAAGAGCTTCAAATTTAGCATCAAATCCGAGTGGAACTTCTTGCCAATGTTAACGCAAACGTAGCCTGCGACTTTAAAGTGAGTTTTTAAAACTCTTAGCCCCCTGCCCCCCTCATTTTTGGTTGCAGAGCGGGTAAAAACCGGGAAAATCGCCAGAAATGATGCCCGAAACCACTGTAGAACTTGACGAGAACCCTTGAAACGTTGCGCTCAGTCGGAGAACTGCAACACAGGAACTGCCGCCCACTTTAAGGACGGAAACATCCATAAAACCCCCGCTGCCCCTCTCTTTTTTCGTTGCAGAGCTGGTAAGAACTGGGGCATCATTTCTGGCGATTTTCCCGGTTTTTACCCGCTCCGTAACGAGAAATGAGGGGGGCAGCGAGGGTGTTTTGGATGTTTCCGTACTTTAAGGGGGTGGCAGTCCTTGTATTTCAATGCTCCGACTGATCGCAACGTTTCAAGGGTCCTCCTCAAGTTGGACATTAGTTTCGGGCATTATTTGTAGTGAATTTCCCGGTTCTTACCCGCTCTGCAACCAAAAATGAGGGGGGCAGGGGGCTAAGAGTTTTAAAAACTCACTTTAAAGTCGCAGGCTACGTTTGCGTTAACATTGGCAAGAAGTTCCACTCGGATTTGATGCTAAGTTTGAAGCTCTTCTGTGACTTTTCGCATTTTAATCCAATGTTTCATTGTAACAGGCCCATCCCCCCCTACGAGGGGGAGGGGGGGCTGTGGTGGCCCGGGGGCAATATGAAGACTTCGGTATCAGACTTGGAGTATTCGAGGACTCTTTGTAAAGAGAAACGGTATGTCCAAGAGCCGCCGAAGCTACTCTAAAAAATGAAGGTACGGACCCCCTAAATAACCTTTGGACCCCCCCCCCTAACTTTTGACAGGGGGGTCAGATCGACTTCCGGTTTGCGCCAAAAAGTTTCTTATTTCGTGCTCTTTCAAACGATGTATCACATGATGGGGGTTGCCATTTGAAATTTTTCAGTTGCCCCCCGCCCCTCTCCCCCTGGGGGGAAGGGTGAAGAACTGAAAAGTACCTCAAAAAGTTTCCCCCTCGATATGAGGAAGGACGCCAAAAACCGCAAATCGATATCATAATTAGAACTAAAGTTATGGCCAGTGGTGCGTAACTTTTGAATAACCCTGTATCAATGTCAGGTGTTGTGATTGGCTTATTCAATGACTTGGACCAATCATAACACATATGAGAGTTTATATGTAGGTATCTAACAATAGCGGATGTCGATTTTTCACATTCTGAGAAAATCGCGTTTGAAGTTTTCGAAGCTTTGCACTTTTTCGCCCGTAGAACTGAGAGCATTCTCGTAAAGATTTATATGAAGAGCAACTCTTCCTATGAAAAACACGCGTTTTACGATTAATGTAAGTGAAAAAATTGAAGGAGTAACAACGGTATGAGAAAACTGTGACATCCGCCATTTTCACTGAAAACATTTTTTCATGCATGAAACAAAGTCTTCAGGAAAGGTAAGGCTGGTGTAACGATTGAAATGAACCAAAAGTAAGTCAATGCTGAGTCATTTAATAAAATTGAACAAAAAACTTAAACCGTTTGTAACCTCTACAGCAAAAATAAAGAACACATTTTGAAATCGCAGTCAAGAAATCAACAATTCTGGCGAGACGGTCCCGATACGTAGGTATCATTTGAGTGTCAGCTGCAGCCCATGGCCTTTGTGCGGGCAGTTATCGCAAGTGCGTTCGAATTTCCACGGTGTCCTGCTTTGTCGTGCCAAGGAATAACGCCGTATGAGCCATTATGTGTTGCCAAATTTCTTTTGGCAAATCACGATTTTTTTGAAAAATTTGTAAATATTATTTTTCTTCTAATTTTTCAGACAATTTTTTATGCAATTTAATCTAAAGTATCATAAAATTTCAAGGAAAAATATGCTTAAATTGCGTTAAAGATACATGATTTATCGAGGGAAATTTGGAAACTCTCGAATATTCATACGGCGTTTTTCCTTAGCACGGCAGTGCTGTGTTGGCCGGGGAAAACAGTGGATTCTCATATCCACTGTTTTTACAAATAACACGGATTTCAGTTCAGATCTCGTCGAAAAATTGCGCTGGAAGTCTACAACTTTGCACAGACATTCTTGAGGGCTCCAGAATTAAAGAAAAACGTTTTCTCTAAAAATGGCGAATGTCAGCGACCCCTATTGTTACACATAAGTCCTCATATCTAGAATGGATCTAGACCTGCTATTAAATCTCGCCTCCCTCCTACCTCTTAAATATACGTTAGTGTACTGAAAAAAATCTAACAATGTTTTTTCCTTTAGACACTACCAGAATTATCAACCAATCAGGCGGAGACAGATTTTTTGATGGAAGCTTTAATTATGAGCAAATTTAACCATCCAAATATCGTTCATTTCATTGGTGTTTGTTTTGACAAACATCCCAGGTTTATTGTCATTGAACTTTTGGCAGGAGGGGATCTCAAGACTTTTCTCCGAGAGTCCCGTGCTAAACCTGTAAGTTTATATTTATTCTCTTTATGAAATTTGTTTTTGTTTGTTTTTACGCCATCCAGTCATCAAAAAACGGTCTTAGTCTGTAGTCATAGAAGTTCCTATTTGAATGGAATCAATGATTTACAAAAAACATAGATTCTTCCGATAGTCATGAATTTTAAAATTGCAAATAAAAAACAAATGAAAATTGCAATGCAAAAAAGTAACTCAACATCTGAGGAGGTGGAGAAGGACGTTACTACATTATTGCACAACAAATGCAGCCCTATTGCTCTGCAATAATTTTGTGGCAATAACGTAACAACATAATTTATGATCCTTATCGCAATCTGTTTTTTTTTTTTTTTTTTTTTTTTTTTTTTTTTTTTTTTTTTTTTTTTTTTTTTTTTTTTTTTTTAAGGAATTTTATTTAAGTATAACGTAACTACCACAAGTTTTTCCTTGTATCTATCTACATGGTTTAAAACTAAAACTAATCGAATTGCATTAATTTTACAAGGTAACGTGAGATAGGTAATACAATGATTATCTGAAAAAGCAGGAATTGTAGGTGAAATTCTCTGCCCTCTTTTTTAGAGGTATTAAAACTTTTAAAAGGTTTTTAGTTTAATTGTTTCACATTCTACCTTTCACCTTCCATTCATACTCTCATTCCTACCTCATAGACTACTTACAAAGTAAATCCTGATGGGAGTTCAAAGGTTCCCACCTTTTAATCTTTTCACTAATATTGTACTATCTAAGAGGTTTACAGCCTCTTCATTGACATGTTTTTCAAGACGACATTCATATTTCTTCGTTGTCTCAGCAATTACATATACTTGTCTAACTGTGGTGGGTCTGGGTACCTCCAATTCTCTCCTTATGTCTTCGTTCTTTCCGAACCATGGTACTCCAATACTTTCTCGTGGAACCTTCGACTGGAATCTTTCTACCTTATTTATATTAGATTTGCTTGCACAACCCCATAGTTGTGAAGCATACTGCCATACAGGTTTTAATGTTTGATTATACAATAAAATTTTGTTTTTCTTTGACAATTTTGACCTTTTGCCTAACAACCAATACATTTTTCTATACTTTTTATTTAATTCCTTCACCTTAATTCGAATAGGATCTTTAAAAGTAAGTCTAGAGTCTAAACTCCTAAATATCTAGCGCTTGTAACGTGAGGAACTTGTTCATCTTCTATGAGAACTGCTAACTGTGGTATTTTCAGTTATTTGTAAAAACAGTATGAGCAGATTTAACTGCGTTGAGCGTGGCGCCATTGTCAGAAACCCATCCAGCCATTTCATCAATAGCTTTTGTAATCTATGATTAGAAATGAAAATGTCTTTGTCTCTTTCTGCTAAGGCAGTATCATCTGCAAAAGTGTCAATAAAGCCCCTCCTCGGTTTTGGGATGTCGCTAGTGAAGATATTATACAGGGTTATCCAAAAGTCACTGAACACCCCTGTAACTTTTTTCCAAATTGAGATAGAAGTTTCAAACTTCTATCTCAATTTGGAAAAAAGTTACAGGGGTGGTCAGTGACTTTTGGATAACCCTCTATAAACATAGGCTCAGACTTGAACCTTGCGGTACTCCTGCCTTTATTCTTCTATATGTTGAATAACAATTATCAAATCTGGCTCGCTAAATGTTCTGTTCTCCAGGTAAGATTTGATTAAGTAGTTTATAATAATTAAATGGTAAATAAATTCGAATTTTGTAGAGAAGACCCAGATGCCAGACTTTATCAAAAGCTGCTGAAATAAAAATCAGCGAACATACCTACCTCTTTATTTTCCAATGTCCTCTATATAAAACTCACAACTCTGTGCACTTGTTCTGTAGTAAAATGTGACGTCCTAAAACCGAATTGGTGACTTAGTATTATCTGTCTTCCTTCTAAAATTGGTAATAGTCTTTTTAAGTAAGCCCTTTCAAACAGTTTACTTACCACCGACAGTAATGAAATCGGTCTGTAGGAATCTACCTTTTCCATCGGTTTATTTGGTTTCGGGATAACAATTACTTCCGCAGTCTTCCAGGATTCTGGCACATATCTTATTTTAATAATTGCGTTAAAAATCTCGGCTAATTTGGCAATCACCCTGATTGGGAGCTGTTTCAGAATCTCGCCAGTGGTCCCATCAGCGCCCGGGGCTTTTTTTAATTTAACTGTATATTTAATCACATCAAATAATTCTGTTTTTGTAATTTTAGTAACTTCCAAATTTTCTTGCTCCTCTATCTCTAGCAATTAGTCGGCAAGATTGCACTCATCCTTGAGACTTTTCTTAGGTGTGAATACACTTTCCAAATGATCAGCAAAAACTTTAGCTTTCTCTTCGTCGTCTTTTACTTTAAGTTTATTTTTATCCAATATGGGCGGTGAATAAAAAATCTGCTTTTTAAGGTACTTTGCCGCCTTCCGGAGAGAACAATCAGTATGAGCCATAGGTGTTGTAAAGTAGTGATATTAATCCTTCTGGACAGTCTGTATTGTCAGTGCGTATGCACTCTCACCCTCTAGTTACTCTATGTTGACTATACTCCATCCTGTTCTCCATCCTGTTACTCTCTCTATGCGCTTGGCTTGTGTGTTTTTGTCAATCAGTTTCATCCATATTCTATGCCGGAATAAAATATGTCTTAAACTTCATTCAGTGTCGTTGTCTTGATTTAGACATCCTCCAACAGTAGGTGATGAGTGTTCCGGAAAATTTTCAGTTTCTTAATTTTTAAAAAAACCAGGTCATTTTTGAGACCTCCCTATTTAGTCTATTTAATTTATTTTTTAGTGCATTAGTTCTTTCTTTCATCCATAATTTCCTAACCTTCCTGGCCTCGCTAATCATTTCCAGAAGTTCATGAGGGATTTTAGGGGCTGATTTCGTTAGTCTAACAGTTGGAGTATTTCTTTTTGCCGCTGTAAGGATCTGTTCAGTGATATGTGTCTTCAATTTGCTGTCGTGTATCTGTAGGATTTTTGTCGCCTATACGTTGTATACCGCCTTTGCGATCGTTTCGACCCCCCACTCGATACAATAACCGAGTCCCTTAGTTCCTTACCGGAAAGTGACTGCCGCGAACTTCTGGGGTTTTCCAAAGCGGGTAAAAAGTTTACTAATCCGTCATACTTACGGCTGATTCACCATTTCACCGTCACGCTAGGATTCATCCAATTCATCAATTTCTTCCTTACTCTTCGTTAAAACACGAATAAAAAAAGGCCTCATTCATAAAAATCGGCCGAATAGATGAGAAGTTACAGTTACAGTTCGAAATCCTAAGAAATCAACAAAACCTCGACTTCTCCATACAAAAAATAAAATGAAGGGAAATAAATAGAAAGGTACAAATTACAATTAAATATAATTGACCTCAGAATTTGACAATCGATTCGATTATATAACGGAGAAAAAATTGGGAGAAATTACAAAAAATTCGCCTCTTCCATAGGGGCTCCCTTGTAAGAATTTGGACCTGGAGACAAGGGTCGAATAGCAGCAGTACTCCATACAATACACGGTGTGCCCGAACGAGTTAAACATTTTTACATGTACAAATCGAAAATTCTTTATATTTATCAACTATAGTGTCTCTTGAATCAGTTAAGCCACAAAAAAAAATAAATAAAAAAAAATAAAATAAAATAAAATAAAATTAAAAAAAACCGTCAAGATTCTGGAAGATAAAGGCGATTTAAATGTATTCTGGGGCTTTAATAACTAAATCACCGGTAGTAAATAATCCCGTTGTATTATTTAGAAAGAATTAACTCCGTAGTTTAAGCTGATTCGATGGACGCCGTATTTTGTGTCAGAACGGCATGCGATATATCGCATCAATTGGTTCCATTTTTTCAGCTACTCGTCAAGTTCCTCCAATTTTGAGATCGCAATTCCGTTGTCAGGAGACTAAAGCACTCACTTACCAATTTTAACAAAGAAATTCATCGTAATAAAAGCGTGTTTTTTAAAGAGAGAAAATATCGCATTCGCGTGCAGTTTCGATATCAGTGTCGAAAGCGGTAGGTATTTTTCCTCTAAAAAAAACCACGCATTTATTACATTGAATTTGTTTGTCAAAATTGGTAAAAGAATTCGTTTGTCTCCTGACAACAGAATTGTGATCTCAAAATTCGAGAAAAATGACGAGTTTTAAAAAAAAATGGAATTAATTGATGTGATATATCGCATGTTATTCTGACACAACTATGGCGTCCATCGAATCACCCTAATGCCCTAGTTTCGTAAATACGATTATTTTAAGCACTCAAACATTTATACGCCATTATATTTATTTATATTTATAAACAATTTTAGCCATGGGGTGATTTCCTGAGAGCCGATAATATCACGAATTTCTCATCCTCAAAAATGGCTTGCTTTTAGGGCAGCCGATTCGGCCATCGAACCGCGGCTAAAATGGAAGCTGATAATAACAAAAAACTCTGAGAAAAATTTTGAGATGAGTTTAGGAACGGTTTCTAAGTAACGAGGAGAGGCGGGCAAAGTGGCTAAAATCCTATCTAGTTCTTGCCGTTTTTCTGTTGAATTGATTTTCCGCGGACTTCTGACTGTGTCCAAACATGGTTTCTGTTCAGCATTTCGATACATCAGTATTTTTACACGTAGAATCTAATGAGTCACAAAACCTTGTTTATTTTATTGAATATTCTGAAAGTACTATGTGAGAAGATAACGTGGTGATTTTTCCTCATTTTCATGGAGCGAAAATCTCGGAGAAAACCGCGTTTGAAAAATCTAAAAACTGCAAGACATTCAAGACAGGATTGCAATTACTTATTATTGTTTCATGAAAAGCAAATGCATCAAAAATGACTATATTATATTAACTTTTACATATTTGCATTTATGAGATTGACTCGTAAATTCAACGAGTGGGTACATCGACCTGGTATATAAGGTCTCTGCGATTTTTTACGGCAAATCTGTAGATTTCCGGGATGAAGATTGCTTACTTCCAAGTTATGAATGAATAAAGCA